CACACACACACACACACACACACACACACACACACACACACACTCACACACACACACACATATATACACACCTCCGTCACGACCGTAGACTCGTACTGGTTCCTGTCGAAGTCTCTGGAGGAGCACTTGACTGTCCTGACCTCCTCGCCATCCTCAAGGGAAAACTCTGGACTCGAGGAAGCCACTTCGAAGCCCAACTCAGCCGCTAAGGTATAATTGTAGTCGTACATGACACAACTACTGCGCTGACTACTGCTATTCCTAGTTCAGAGATAGCAATTAAGATGAAGGCAAGTTACAGAGAATACTTGATAAGGTATGCAGGCTATTGAAACTCAAGATTCCTCTAATCTAGAATATCATTCCTGTCCCCTTAAGAAATAACGACTTCTCATTATCTTAACGCGATGCCAAGAAGAAAGAATGACACAGGGGCACTTTTCTTACCCATTGGGAATAGCTAGACTTAAGATCTGGTCTTGAGTCCAGTTGGCATCCACCAGAGGGGCTACGTGGCACCAGTAGTCCGGAGTGGCACCCAAGAACTGGTAATTAATTGTCTGAAGTGGGTTGATAAATGTTCCTGAAATAGATACACGAGTAATTTGAGTCAATGTTTTCATATCAATTCTATGGAAGTTATTTATCATGGATTATTGAGTTAATTTCTGTAACGATGGTACTTGTTACAGGGTGATATCATACATAAAAAGGGTATAACATTTGAGAGATTGACATAAACCAGCCTTGGACCCTAATTCCAGGGTAAAAAAATACTCTTTTCATTATGACAAAGACGGAGAGAGAACATTTTAATAACTACATTGAAATAAGCTGAATATAAGCTTACTCTGTAAATTACTCTGTAACTACCAAGGGCTCAAGCCGTTTGGATGCTATTAACACTGAAATGCTGATGACTAATAAAGGTAAAATCCGTACATATCCGTCTATTCCTGGTATTGCTAAATCGAGTTCATTAAAATATCTCATTTATCGAATACCGCATCGGTTAATTAAAGCTGAAGTGGGAAATTATAAACAAATGTATATGTTATGGTCACAGTAGAATCAGCCATTTGCAATTTCCCGGTCAGTTTGCAAAGAAGCCACAGTTACGTAAAAATCGCACTGTTTACGTACACATAGAAACAACAACAAACAAAAAATAAAAAACAAAACAGACGAGACAAGACACCGGAGAATAAAACGAAGGAAGACAAGAATCAGAAATTCGAAGTCGCACGCACCGAAGGAGATCAAGACGAGGATTAGGAGCGTCCTTATGTCCTGTGAGCCTGCGAGGTCGTTCAGGTCATCGTAGGTCGTGATGGCGACTGTGTCCTCGCCGCTCTTCTTCGCTTCTGCTTTGTCTTCGCTCATTGTGGCCCCTTTTCTTATTCTGAAAATGGAAGAGAAGGCGATGCGTGAAGAGTATGCACATGAGCTTTCTCCGTTTTCTTTCTCCGTCGGTCTTTGTCTATTTTTTTCATGGAAGCAAAGTTCAGTATACAATCTAATTTTTTTACATGCACACACACACACGGACACGCACACGCACACTCATGCATGCACGCACACACATCCATACGCACAAGCACTCACCTTACCCACTCCCCACCCGCACACCGTCTTCATGCAGACGGAAACACAATATCAACACGTCATACACCACCCTTCTCTCCCTTTCAACCCCATACCCTCAAAATAAAAGAGATAAAAAAAAATATATATATACAAAATAAAAATGATAATGAAAACAAATCTTCAGAAATTAAATAAACCGTCTACTCCATCTCGATTCGGCAAACATGATTGTACAGTTTCGGCGCGTTCACCTTGGCGTCTCAACCTCGACTCAGCAAACATCCGTTAACCCAAACTCTACCGGCGAAGGACTAAGGTGGGCTTACCCCATGACGCCCTGCATTTCCTCTGACATGTGTTTCATTTGCTTATTTTAAAGATGATTTGCGAGTAGAATAATTAAATAGGTTGGTGGTATAACTGTGTATTGGTTTAAATCGAGATAGAATGAATAGAGAGAGATATGAATTGATATAGATACAGGTAAATGTTGGTAAATACAGCTGAAAAGACTGGGATGTATATAGGTAGATAGATAGACATATAAAGGCAAGTGGATAGGGAGAACAAACACATTTTATGTTCTTATTACTTTCCCCATGATTTGCATGTTAAAATCGCATCTCTCCCACCGTTCCTTACGTCAGCAGACTCGGAGCAATGTACGACCCATTTTTCAACCGCTGTAATAGGGATTTTCGACCGTACAACCAAAGTGAAAGTGCCATTCATGGGGACAACAGCACGTGGCTTCTTACCTCGTCTACTGCCGCGAAGAAACTGACTGGCTGATGCAGTGTCGCACCAGAGGTTACTATATGACGTAAACAAACGAGGGTTTTTAAGAATGAACTCCATTTTTTTGGGACAACCCATAAAAAGCAATACGTGATAGTGATTAAGAAAAAGTGAGACTAGACTATCTAATGCTGCCTGGTTAATACTGTATGTTAATTATACAGACTAACAACAACCGCCAACCTCGTTTATGACTATGGGAATATATAATCTAACTTGCATGCACTTGTATCAATGATGTAAACACTACAATTTTATAAGACTCACTCCCCCCCCCCGCCCCTGCGTTTTTTTTTTTTTTTTTTCTTTTTTTTATGAGGCAGGTTATTGACATCAATAGGGAAATAGAGAGGAAATGGCATGCTGATAACACTATCGGGAGGACTTTTCCAAGAAGCTCCTATCGTGTGTTTTTATTTAGTTTTCTGCGTCATCAGGAATTTTTTAGACAATTTCTGCCGATAATTGTACAGAGGTGATAAGAATAAAAACGTGTAGGGTCTGTCCCATCCTCGTATCATTGAAAATAATAAACGGTGAAAATAACTACTGATAGTAATCATAATAAAGATTATCTGTATTATTTTACTTTAGGCATTATTACAGTATTTAAACACTCACACGCACACAAACAACGCTAACATGTAAGATTTATATTTTCAGTATTTAGGTATTGCTATCAGTAATTTTATATTTTACGCACACACGCAAAAACATAATACACGGTTCCGCACTGGTAACCCACACGTACGCTAACCCACCCTCGTTTTTATAGACATGGTCATGCAAATACAGAAGCAAATAATTTCATGATATATTACACTTCTACATAACAAAACAAGGAAGGAAAATCAGATACAGCATATACATACATACATACACACACATACACACACACACACACACATATAAAAAAATAAAAAAATATAAATATATATATATATATATATATATATATATATATATATATATATATATATATATATATATATATATATATATATATATATATATATATACATACATATATATATGTGTGTGTGTGTGTGTGTGTGTGTGTGTGTGTGTGTGTGTGTGCGTATCTTTGTGTGTATATGTGTGTGTGTGTGCGTATCTTTGTGTGTGTGTGTGTGTGTGTGTGTATCTTTGTGTGTGTGTGTGTGTGTGTGTATGTGTGTGTGTGTGTGTGTGTGTGTGTGTGTGTGTGTGTGTGTGTGTGTGTGTGTGTGTGTGTGAGTTCTGGCCAAATAAGCCAAAATAAATTCGCTAAGAAAATGTTTGAAAATCGTTTTTTCCTCTAAGTGATACATTATGTCAGTGGCGGTTCTCTCTTTTAGGAACACCCTTGACCACTTTTAAAGGATATCTAATTGATATATATATATATTTTTTTCTTTCTTTCTTTTTTTCCTTTTTTTCCACACACACACATGACTCTCAGGCTGGGGTTCCAGAGGGGCCACCGAGCAATACAAAAATTATGTTTTGGAATTAAATTAGATTTTGTTTCACCTCCAGTTAATTATCTCACACACATCAATAAATATTTCTTCCATATAGTGTAGAGAAACAGAAAATGAAAATAATTTAAATATAAATAAAATCCACTAGTTGTCCTCAACGATCTCACCGACCCTCCCCCCCTCCTCCTAATACCTCTTAGTGGCCCTCTTGCGATCACTATAAGCACTACGACATTTATATCCCACAACCTGTAAAAAGTGTAAAATCAAAAGACCTTATCAGTCATAAATCTAAGTCCTAAAACTACTATCAGACGTTTTCACTAGAAGTCTTCTCGCTCTTTCGAGAGTTTAAACTACAAAGATTTCCGGCGTTATGTTGTACTACTTTCTTATAACTTAACTTATTCATTAACATAATCTCATCATTAATTAGCATGTCAATAATTATATTCGAAACATGAGATACTGGAAACACGTAAACTCAATTAATATTTACAATTTATTCTTATTTATCTCAGGAAATAAAAAAGATCATTCCTTAACTCTCAGTTTTACTGATTTGTTCATCTATTTATCAATATTCACTTAGGAAAAAAAAGAAAAAAGAAATTCTACATTACATGAAACTTTTTTTTTAGTATCGTATTATGATACATTAACGAACCTCGGATGGATTGGTTTTCTGACTCCCAAAATATGAGTTGGCAATTCTTAAATATTATTTTAGAACTTCCAGGATGTCTGAGTCCTTCCTTCTGGGCCAAGATGCCACAGCCCAGTCCAAAGCAACTCTGAATAACCTACCTGGGATTTCACACCTCCCAATGCACCCCAACGGAAATGCATGGGACTTTTTCGTCCTGCTCTGAAGCGGACTTCCGCTTTAATCAGTTGCCGATGCATATTGCTACAAATCACCCCTTTTCTATTTCTCTAGATACGACAACCTCCTGTAAAGTCCCTCGAAACAGTTTCTTACCAAAGACCTTTGCGCTAACTTCCTCGAATTTGGATGACTTAACCTGCATACACTGAACAGCACAATAACGAGCATCAGAGCAAAAACTGGTAACTGTAAAGTCCACAATGACTTTCACAGTACCTAGAATGCTTTGTTATCCGTCCATATTAGTCTTTAAAAAATAGAGA